AAAACTTACCAAAAACTTGGCTACAGAGTAGGCTGGAGAAAGATGATAAGCTATTATGGGCCTGAGTGGGACCCCCGGCTTGTGTATCTTAGGCAAGCCATAAATATAAGCTTCCCTATCCAGGCAAGATGTAAATAGGACAAATTGATCAGGTGTGATGATGCTGGATTTCTTCATTTCGCAGAGCGCCTTTCTATGTTTTGGTCAACAGCAAGATTTTCCTGGGGTGAAATGGAAGAAAAGGTTAGTGTTGTCCTGGAGAATGTCCGTCATCTTAGAAAGATAATCTGAGCGGTCAAGTACGACAGTGTGGCTTCCTTTGTCCGCTTTAATGAAAATGAGAGACTTGTAACTTTGCAACTTCTTAATGATCTGGCGATGTATTGCTGGAAGGTGTATCTGTGAAGGTCTGCTGAGAATTTGAACTGCGGCGTTTCGTATTTTAAGAGTTCAAGATGATTAAGTGACCTTGTGACGCCTTCGATTCCGGCAATTATTCTAGGGATGTCCGGTTTAGCTGGGGGGATGAATTGAAGACTAACGCTAAGATCCTCTCCTCTCTATCAGAAAGCTTGGTTGAAGACAGATTTAGGACGTTGGGAAGAGCCGATCCCGTGGACTCGGCGGCATCAGGAAAATTAAACTTTCTTTTCCAAAATGCCAATTTTGATAGATGCCTATTCTTAAGCGAAATTTCTTGTTGATGAACTTTAAAGGTGATGGATCTTACTAGGTTAGCAATGTCGTCCGCAGACATTAACTGGTGGAGAAGAAAGATGAGGCCTTTAATAGATCTGGAGAAGAATCTAATGTTGGAATGAGAACCTTGTATTCTGGCCTCGAGATAGGCATTTAATAATATTTTTTTAACAAAATTCCACTTTCTAATTCTAGAATAATATTTTAGGTTGTTTTAGAAAACTATTATTTTCTTATTTTCTATCTTGTTTACACATTTGATAACAGTAACTATTTAAGAACATGCTGTGGTATTTTTTCTCATTTATTCTTTTTGTCTGATGATGGTAACAACCTTGTTACTGAAACGTCACACACAATTAATTTATTTGAATTAGGTCTTATTTTCTTGTAGCTATAATCTATAATCCAAATATTGTGCTTTATGATAACAACAAAAATAAATTCACACTAAGAGATAGTTTCAAAATTCAATAAAAGATGGCGTACTATGGTTAACACCCATGTAAATCAAGGAATTGTTGTTAAGTTTATTGGGAGATCTCCTGTTCTGCCCCTTGTCTCCAGATTGGTAGGATTCTTTAGAGCCTCAGTTTCTGGTGGTGGTTGTCTATCTAAATGACATCTAGTACCATTGCTATTTAGGGTCGAGGGTTATTAAGTAACATTATCTATGTTACCTCAAATGTTAGACAAAATATTTTTGTGGCAGAGATAGTCATAATTGTGGTTTATGATTCCTTCCATGTAAGGAACAGCCTCAAACTACAGGCAAGTCAGACTATCACCAAAGTGTGCCTGGATTTGGTGCCATGATCAATGAAAACTGCCCCCCTACACCCCATTCCATTGGAATTCATGTAATCTTTACATAAGGGATAAGAAACAACATTAATCAAGTTAATAAAAATAGTTTTAAAAAATACTTTAATATAGTTTTAAAATTTGACATTACAGGTGAACCCCTCCATGAACAGACACTCCTACTAGTGGGCTCCTCTATACAAAGAACATTCTCATGGCCAAAATTATAATTTTTACCAATTATTTACTCTCCGGTACACTCTCTCTAAAGGATGACTCTGCAACTAGATCTTGTTGAGAGAAGTAGTTTTTACTGTTTTACTGTTTGGTTGGTTGTTTCCTTGTGTTTCACCACAACAGTAACTTTACATCAGACTTTACCTGGTCCAAGCCCGTATGAAAAAGGAGGAGGGGGAGCAGTAAAAAGCCTCACTAAAAAACCTGGGCTCAGCTGGCCCGGCTGATAGTACCCTGTAAGGGCTCCTAATCCAGGGATACAGGATGAGCAGTGTCTGTACTCCATGTTAGGAGCGGCTGCACATGGCGTCTGTTCCTCATGTCAGAGGCGGCCCTTTCTTTTGGAGCTAAGTCGGCCTGCCACTGAGTAGTGCTCCCAGTCTTAATGACAAAGGCAGACGCATTCTACTTCACCCAGTCATGATGGTTGTCAAATACCATCAAAGATCACAACTTGATACCCTAATGATTGAGTGGAGATAGAAAGAAGAAGAAGTATTGTAACTTAGATCAGAATTCATCATGCTTTCCCGTCTTAGAACAGGCCATCTACATCCAATGATTTTCACAAGTGGATCCAAAACCTTTCCGAATTGCACCAAATGTTAGGATTCTTCAGCAAGTCCAGAACACATCATGCAATGCATCGGGCATTGCCGAACAGACATCTACACCGACCCAGCTGTGGTCATCGAGGCGATAAAGAGGCCTTCAGGATCTGGTCTAGACTTGAAGTCCAGACCTGGGACAAGAAAAAAAAAAACATTTGTTAACTGGCTACAAGAAAATAAAACCTAATCCAAATAATTTTAATAGTGTAAGACATTTCGGTAGCAGCATTGTTACCATCATCATAATGATAATGGTAACAGCACTGCTACCGAAATGTCACACACTATCATATTATTAGGTTTTTATTTTCTTGTAATTATAATCTATAATCCAAATTGTGCTTTATCATTTGTTAACTGGGTATATTGCTAATTTTTTTTTTTTTACTTTTCGAGAGTCTCAGACTGTTTTCTGGCCAAAAATGACTTCACTGAGCAGAAACAAAGAGATGAGAATAGCAAGACACAAATATGTGGTGTCAGTGATTATCATCACTCAGTCACAACACTACTGATACTGGTATCAACACTTGATTACCAATTATAAACAAGGAAATAAGCCCTAATCTACAAATAATTTAAGAAAATGACATCTCCTTATTTGCAACTGAAAGTTGCTGATGGCTTGCGCCATCTATTGGAATAAATATCAACTATACACACAAATTTATTAAGACCACCGGTCCTTATACACACACACACACACAAAAACCTTTATTAAGACACACAGGTCTTACAGAGGATTCTCCTTGGGGTTACAAGACGGAGAACCCATGAAAGTGGGAAATATACAAAGGGGTAAAAATGGAGAAAGATTATATACACATGGTAAATATATACAGATTATTATTTGAATGATCCTATGGAAAATAAGAATATGGAAATATAGATGGAAGAAGTGGAGAGCGAAAAGAGGAAAAAAACAGGTATTTACATATGGAACATACATATAATGGAACAAGTCAATTTAAGCTCTTCTGCTCACACAGCACAGGTGGACCATGGCTTTTTTCAAGGAGATTTTTCACATAATACAAATAAATTAATAGTGTGTGACGTTTCGGTAACATAATTGTTACCATCATCAGACAAAAGAATAATTTTTATACCATTTACTTTATTGATTCTTGTTAAACCTATCGCTAATTCTCATCTTTTCTCCATAGGAGAAACACCATTTCATTGTAACAACAATGTAAACATGAATGAATAATAAATTATCATAAATATTGTTGTGTGGCAACAAGTAGCCGACTGGATGATGAACGTGACCGGAAAAAAATATTTATTTTTAATTCTTTTATTTTTATAAAGCACAATTTGGATTATAGCTACAAGAAAATAAGACTTAATCCAAATAAATTAATAGTGTATGGCATTTTAGTAACAATGCTGATAAAGCACAATTTGGATTATAGATTATAATAAAAGAAAATAAGACCTAATCCAAATAATTTATTAGTGTGTGACGTTTCGGCAACAACATTGTCACCATCATTTATTCTTTTGTCTGATGATGGTGACAATGTTGTTGCCGAAACGTCACACACTAATAAATTATTTGGATTAGGTCTTATTTTCTTTTAGTAACAATGCTGTTACCGAAACGTCACATGCTATTAATTTATTAGGAATAGGTCTTATTTTCTTGTATCTGAATGGTGTAAAGTTTTGATACCAGTATCAGTAGTGGTGTCAAGTAATGATATCTTCTAGTTACTGATACCATATTGGATATATTTGTGTCCTGCTATTCTCATTTCTTTTTCTGCTCAGTGAAGTCATTTTTGGCCAGGCAACACAGTCTGAGACTTGATAAAGTCAAGAATAAATAATTTAGCAGTATACCCAGTTAACAAATTTTTGTTTATTCTTTTATTATTAATGATATTAGATTATTCAGAAACAGCACCACACAGAGATGACAGGTAATAATTGTATTTGACCATTGACCACCATTTAACAGCAATGAGTTAGAGATAACATGCCGGTTATCCTTAGCCCCTCAATTGAAATACACCATGACGAAATTGTTTTACCATGTCCTGTCTCAGCTACAACCCCTCCTACAACCGGCCCAATGAGACCCAGAACTCAACAACCTTCCTGGACTGGACCACATGGCCAGCAGTGGACCAGGTCTTAGTGACCTTAGCCCACTTAGATGATAGACCATTTCCCCAAATAAACCCTCTGAGTCTTACACCCCCACCTCTGTCTCATCAATATAAAAGAAAGATTAAAAAATGCAATATAACAGTGGTATGGTAGATTAAACTGGCGAAACCGCTGGGAGGGTTCACCACTGATGAGCCAGGCCCTCCCATTAATTTTTCCATATTGCAGTAAGGGCAGTAGAAATTGTTTAATTTCAAAAAGAATCTTACGCATCTAAAATAGTTTCAAATTTACATAACATACAGTGTAGTAGTAATATCATTTTATTCGCGATTGAATATTGTGACCCATTGTACGTATTACATCCCAAACACAATGTAACACCAGCCATCTCTGTCTTGAGCTTGATGTACCATCATCAAG